ATACGATACTAAGCAATTTATTAAGAGCTTTTTTCATTGTTTCTATATTTTCGGTTACATGAGCCAGCCAATGGCCTGCTTACGTTAAGAGATGTAATGACATGATCGCCTTTCTCACTGCTGCGACTTTGGCATTTTTGCCAATTCGGTATATAATCGATGCTTAAAAAAAGAGTGGAGTTCGGTTTCACGTAGGTACCGTTTTTGAAATATTTCTCAAGTTCTTCGAAGATTTCGATATGTCTTCCGTTGATCCGTTTATTCTATTTGCATTGGCTTACGCGGCTTTCTACATCGTGGCTTCCACGTCTTACACCCCTTTCGTGGTTCGGTGTGCTCAGGCGGTATCGATTATCTTCGGCTTTTTTTATCGTTTTTTCGGTGCACCTATGTACACATTTTTTTTGTAGTATATAGTTTGTAGCTAATTGTAATTGTTGTGACTATTTTATTTGTAACTATTATTGAAGCAAATTTAGCTTATGTCACGAAATGCTTCAAAAACAATTGTAACAATATTTGTCACAAGTTTTTTTGTAACTAGTTGAAGAAAATTTGTTACAATTTTGAGTTAGTAGCTATTTTGTCACAAATTAGCTACTAAAAGTGACAAATTTGCTACAAATTAATGATTTCATAATTTTGTCACAAATTTGTATCTAATTGTAGCTAAAATTTACTACAAATTGTTGTTGTAGCAAAATTTGTGGCTATTTTCACCTATTCTTGTAGTGGTGATATTTTTTATATCACAAACGACATTTTACGTTGGCCTTGCTTCATTCGGCTTAGGCATGGGAGCCATCACGGTCCGAGAATTCCTACTTGCAGGAGGAAGAGGTATCTAAAGCCCTTGAGAAGAAGACAATACAAAAAAAGTTAGTGAAGTTCTTTTAGAGTTTTAGTTACTAGTTAATTGTATTTTTAACACTATGTACTGAAAATTATAGATTTGTGAGAGTATTTTGTGATATCCCTTATGATTTCAATGTTTTCAAAAGGTTGTAATAATTTTTCAACAAGAGACAATGATACGTAAGTGTCTTTTGTTCAAGTTTCATGTTTAGTCGACCCATTGCTTTCTACAAGATAAATGGTTAATCTGATTTTTAGCAATTTTTTTTGTACTGTGTGGAAACATCAGTAAAAATCATAAAAATAAATTCCTCAAGAACACAATAGTAAATCCTAAAGCAAGTGTTGGGTTAAGGAATCGTCTTCCAGAAATTCTGGAATACAAGTGGAAATTAAAACTTAAACAGACCACAAAAGGAGTGGTACTCTTAGGAAACAAAAGGGAAAAGCCTCAATAGGATTTAATGGAACCCTGTACTCGGAGAGCAAAATACATCCAACCATATGGCTGAGATGCCCGAACATAGTGACACACCTCCGGTCTTCGATAGACCGGTCCTTAATAGACGCCCTCAATGCAATTTCCACTTAGCCAAGCATAAGGTACCTGACGAAGAAGCCAATTTTATCGATAAACCGGAAATCAAAGCCTCTTGTATAGAAAATTTGAAAAATTAGCAAAGTGTATACGGTGAGGAGGAAAATATGCATCACTATTGAGTAGACTGCTCCCGAAGTCATCCTGCCATTTACCCAAAAATAAGGCATGAATTAAAACCAAACCAGGCTTTTGCTTGCTTC